TAGCACTCATGAGAGACACAGATGGAGAGTCCCACAGAGACAAACTAACCATGGAGTCCCAGGAACATTTGCCTGACCCTTTGGAGTGAGGAGAAACCAGCGTGCTTCCATAGAAAACACATACACTTTAGAATCTGACAGAACTTAGATTTCTATCATATTTGACTCCAGGCAAGGTATTTCATCACTCAGTCATTGTATTCTATAAGCAAAATGGGGACAATGAATATTAAAAAAAAATAAATAAAAAAATAACATATGTTGCAGGGTTGCAATGAGCTGGAGTATTAGCACCATCTATCAAGATCAATGTGGAAGATGCCCATTAATGGTGGCTATCACACATATACATTCATATTAAAAATACTAAGAAGATTGAAGTTTCCTTTGCCACAGAAAAGACTCTGAATACAGACTTTAGAATCCATAAATATACTATATTTTGAATGTCTTTCTAGCTTTAATAATTCGAAATGTGCTTCAAGGAATCAGAAGCAACATTTACTAGCAATACAGAATGTTTCTGAAACTTTCCCAAGCTTATCTCTGACATTGAAGTGAACTTAAGTGCAGAAAACCCTCAACACTCCTCTGTCCCATAAGTCGAAATGTTCTTGCCCATTGGCTTCAGGACCTTGCAAACACTAAACCCCATAAGTGTGCCAATCGCCGTGCAAAGGTGGCACAGTGGTGTCTGCACAACTAGCAGAAATGAGAGATGGGCACAATGACCAAGCCAGGAAGCCATAGGGAGTTAGATGTAAATACGAAACTAAGTTGCTCAGTCTCCAAAAGGCCAAAACTTGTCTTCTGGCCTCCTTAGTAGTATACTGTTAAAACCAAATCAGCTCATACTGCTCTCTGACTCCAACTTCCAATTCTATTCCTCTCACTCAGTGCAAGTCCCCTCCATGCCCTATGAGACCTCAATGAACTGACATGCTCCATGGCAGCTCCATGAACTCCTCCCCTTACTTCCCAAATCACTGACTCTACTCCAGACACACCCACCACTTGGTGGCTTCCTGCACACAAGCACATTGTCTAATCCAGGCCTTTCCACTTGCTGATCCCTCTGTCTAGAAATATCTTCTTCCATTTACTGCAAGGCCAGCTGCTGTGTGCTTCAGGTGTCTGCTCAAAAGTCTCATTGTCAGAGAGGCTCTCCCTGGTGCCTCTGTTTAAAATGGTTCTCCTCCTTTCCCACTCCCCTCCCACTCTGTCCCTCTCCCCTGCCTTCCTCTTCTCCCCAGCACTCATCATCACCTAAGGCCCTGGTTGGCACATGCAGCTCTTGGCCCCTTGAGTGTGGCTCTTCCAGGTAATACCACAGCCTGTCGAGTTTATTTTGAAGAAGTGGCATTAGAAGAAGTTTAAGTTTAAAAAATTTGGCTCTCAAAAGAAATTTCAATCATTGTACTGTTGATATTTGACTCTGCTGACTGAGTTTGCTGATCACTGACCTAAGGGACTACACATTTTAGTTATCTTTCTCTCTCTGTTCAAATGTAAACTCTCAAAAGCTGTGCTTTTTGTCTTTTGTTTTTTTTTTTTTTTTTTTTTTTATGTCGCCAGGATCCACACACAGAATGTGCTTGGTACAAAACAAGATATAGATATTTGCTAAATTCTTTGAGGAAGGCAATAGGGGAAGCGAAATCAGGGAGAATTCCTAGGTTTTCTTAAAATCTATAAAGAGGGAGGGGAAATTAAAATACCCAGAATGTTTTTGTAGTACACCCAAACACAAAAAGAAGTAATCTACTAAAGTGAATACATAGTATAATTAGAGATAATGCTAAAACTATCAACATCTCAATGTTGTAAAATTATGGATAATATTGCTTCTTTCTTGACATTGTTGTCTCTCATGTACTTACAATGAGCTGAATTATTTTTGTATTGAAAAATCATATATATTTTCTTAGATAACAGATACCACCCCTCTCTTTTGGAATTCTATTTATTGAAAATTTGTTGTGTCAATCACAAAGATATCAAGGGTGTCTTCTCAACAATATACAGAGCTGACAAGCTAGTCATCAAAATGTTGGCAAATCATTTGTCTTTAGTTCTTTATATCAGTAGCTCTCAAGGCAGATTAAAGGTGATGGTGCCTGTGCTTCATTCTACTGACAAAGAGCATCTGCGTTTCATATCCCCTTATGTAGGAAAAACCTGTTCTAGTTCTTTGCATTAATTTGAATATGTAAATGAAGAAAAAGTTACTTAATATCACTATTAGATTGAATGGATATTACAAGAGTATTTAGAATCTACAGACACACATGCGCAAATTAAATGTGTGTAAATAAACACCTCGGTTTTATATTTTATGCTGAGGAAGACCAGCCAAGGTTATGCTGCTATATTGTTAGATGAAGAAATGGAAGCTGGTAAATCAATTACACATTACCATTTGGGTAGCATTAATATCTATAATTTTTTTTTTTTACTGTTGTAAAGTATAATTGGCGTAAAAAACAAAAAGAATACAAGGAAGCTCTAGAATTAAATTTTTTTTCTCATGAACTTTGGTCGAATGCGTGGTTGATGAAGGCATGAGACAATATTCTCACACCTTTGATTTTATTTCAGTAGTTTCCAGAAAATATAGTAATGGAGAAATTTATTTCAATTTGATACCTACAAATCTAATTTAGTATATAGCTTGAATTACTTCTCAGTGTTCCATTTTAAGCCTCTACATTTAAACACTGGTGCATGTTATTCCCTAATATAACTTGCATTGGTCTCAGTGAAAACTGCTGATTTACAGTATAGATTTTTATTACTTCAAGCTATTTGTTAAGGATACATTTTAGTGACTATACAAAAAAAAAAAAAAAAAAAAAAAAAAAAAAAAAAGGTGTTTTAAAGTCTCACCAAAAGAAAAATGAAGAAAAATGTAAGAGTCTAAAATACTGCAATTATATATTATTCTAATTAAGAGCTATGTTCTGACAAGCATAAGTAAGTGAAACGGTTTGGAAGATGGCAGGTAATAGTTAAGAGTTAGCACCCTGTTTCTAGAAGATGAATTATCATGAATAGAATTAAATTAGTCACAAGTGGCAATGAAGAAAGTACAGGTGGAGCTTTTTCTGCCCAGGGAAGGTGAGACTACATGGCAGGGCCAATGTAGCATATGCCTTCAGAATTCAGGTGTTGTTGGCAGGGGCATGCTCAGCTGTCAAGATCAGCTGACATACTGTATTTCATGGACCATCAGCTGTGACTGGGGGGTGGGGGGGGAGAATGGGCTGGGGTTCAGAATCACTGTGGACACTGTCTGACTACCACCAGCTTCTTCCCCACAGGCTTCCCTCTGTCTTCTCCCCGAGGTTCTGGCATGTCGTAAGACAACAGTCTTCAAACGGGAAGTCCACAAACACTTTCTGAAGGGTCCAGGCAATGCAGGGAGTTTTAGAGGAATCACTTATCACTTTCCAACATCTTTAAAAAGCAGAACCTGCCTTGTCTGCCAGCATCATCTTTACTCCATTTCATCAAAGGTAAGCCTCTCATCTGAACTCAACCTTACTTTGGCTAATGATCTGGGTAAACACCCACTATGCATCAAACAAAGGCAACACTTTTTATATTGGTAGCTGGCTTTGCAAGAAAATGAATGACTCATGACTAAGGTATACAACTCTCAATTCTTTAAACAAATGGAAGGAAATGATGTAGCTGTCACTTTAAAATCACTTCGATGATTTATCAGTAAAATTTTTTAGACATATAATGCAAAGGAGTTTATGTCTAACTCCCACCCCCTTCTATGTGTGTGAGTGTGTGTGTGTGTGTGTGTGTGTGTGTGTGTGTATAAAATCTCCACACCTTAATCCCTGGAACCTATGAATGCTATTAAAAGAAGGAGTTTGCAGCTATGATTGTGTTAAGGAACTTGCAATGAGGACATTCTGTTGGATTATTTGGGTAGACCCTAAATGCTACTGTTCTTATGGCAGAGAGACAAAGGGAGATCTGAAAGACAGAAGAGGAGACAGTAACATGGTGATGACAGTTGGCGACCTAAGTGATGCAGACATAAGCCAGGGACTGGCAGCTCCCCCAGAAGCTGGAAGAGGCAAGGGACAGATTCTCTGCTGAAGCCTGCAGGGGAAGTGCCTCCCTAGCAATACCTTCCTTTCAGCGCAAGAATCAGCAATACTGACTTCAGACTCCTGGACTCCAGACTGCTAGAGAGTAAGTACTTGGTTGTTCTAAGCCATCTAGTTTGTAGTACTTTGTTATAGTAACCGCAGGAAATTAATGCAGAATTCAAAGCATTGAACAGCATTGCCAACTTTTTCCTTTCTCATCTACTTATTATGGGAACATGTTATTTAACACTGATAAATGCAAAAATAAGAAAGGAGAGACAAAAAAAGGGGGGAGACAAAATTGTTGCCAATCCTGTCTCACTCTAGCAGAAGATAAAAAAATTTATAACTCATTAAAAGATTTGGAAAAAATAAACAAAAACCCTCTATAAATCACAATACAACAACGCATTTTAAATGCAAAATTTAAAGGTTACTTATTATGTTTATGATTTTAAAATGTGAAGGAGTTACTTATTTCCTCAAGAAAAGTTTAGGGTGTATGCTCCCTTAAAAAGAACCACCACTGTGGATACTCCCATATCTGTCCTATAATCAATTCAAAAAATAATCCAAACAACAGTTTATTTATGAACTTCTTTAAAAGTGTTAATTGTGCTACTAAAAATTATTATGAAATATATCCTTCCAGCAATTTAGACTCAAGGTTCTAGCTCTAAAATTCCCACAAATCATTATTTAAAAAACAAGGGTGGTAAATGTGTAATACTATTATCTTTATTTCCATCTTTCAACTGCCAATACCAAAAATAATAAAGAATTATTCATTATTTTCTTTTATTTTTCTATATCCAAAGAAAATTTTTGCCATATGATCTAAACTATACCGAACAGAAAAGCAATGATGTGACCATGATTCTGTATCCTTACCTAGACCTAGGGGAATCAGATGCTCAAAAAGAGTCCAGCAGTGGTCATCAACGTAATGACACTTCAGGATCAACAGCTGGCACACATCTCGGGCAGTGATGTCACTGGGCACCTCTAAGGCCCTGCTGGTTTCATCTTCACTGTAGATTTTAATTACCTGTGTAGGTAGGAATAAGAAAAAAGGTAAAATATTACATTAGAAACATTATAGGAAGTCATCAAACTTATTGGTAGAGCTGTTTACAAATTATACAGTTTGCTCAACATCTAATTTATTTATACATTAAGTGAATGATTACTTATCCCAAGACTTGTTTATAACATGTGTCAAATCACTTTATCCAACAATTTCTACTTTTTCCTTCCATGTCTAAACCAGAAGCCAAAGACCATTTAAAGCCATTAGCCACTATTATTGATATAATGTTATATGTTAATTAAATTAATTATAAGAAGATGTCCTTTCTCTACCACTCTCGTCTATTCAAAAGTTCTGTATCTCTTATCAATAGTTTAAATTTTCTATGCGGTATTTAAACCCTGTAAATAATCCAAGAAACATGGGTGATTTCTTCCCAGATATACTCTAACAGTAAAAGCAGTAAAGAAAATCAAATTTTTTGAAAAGGCTTCTCTATTTCAGGTATGGAATTTTTGCCAAAGACTTGCTAGAAGTTCACTAAATCCTTTTTCTTTTCTCCCTTGCAATTAATTGTGGCCATGGGACTGTAAGTGGAATATAAGCCCATTCCATTTTGCATTTCCCATAAAATTCTTCTCAATGAACAACTCATATGTAATTTTTCATACTAATAATCCCAGGTCAGAATTGGCTCGATATTACCAATTATTAGTAGGCAGTTCTGAATTTTAGTCAGATGTGATTGTCTGAGCTTTCATTTCAGTTTACTTATTTTGTAGTTAATACACGTGGGTCCCTAAGATCCCAAGATTTATTTGGAATCTCAGTGTCTCCCATGATTGCATCTGGATATGCCATTGCTCTTAAGAGTGCACCTTCAGTGTCTGCATCTGTGCTAGAGACAGAGCAGCCTGTGGGTGGGCCTCTAAAGGATGCTGTCTATATCCATGCTGATAATGACTGGACCGAGCACTGGAGGCTGCTCCCGCCAAAAGCAATGTGAAGATGACCACTCCGGAGAGGACAAGCAGATCCAAGCCTGGGCTGCTCCATCGTAGAGGCAAAGGTGAGCCATGGTTTCAGTTCCCTCAGAGACCACCTACACATTCCACACCAGGAAATTGGGGGGCTAGGAATGACCTGGTGGCTGCTAAAAGGGTTCCCTGCCCTTCCTGACTCTGCTTTGTTTTCTTACAGTAAACAGGAGCATGATTCTTGTTTTTCATGCTCTATCTTTTACATCAGAGGGGCTAAGTAAATGAAACATTGAAAACATTCTGAAGCCTATGCCAAATTCATGAAGAGGAAAGGACAGAGCAAGAGGTTAAAATGGGGGAAATGAAAAGGATTTCCAACCAACCCAGAAAGCCAGTATGTTCTTCAAACCGTGCTGGTACAAATTTGAACAAAATAAGTTGCCAAGAATCAAGACACATAAATTTAGAAGAGCGAGGCCAACTTAAATGTCTGGAATAGGAACAAGAACTCATTTTAAATAAATAACACCTGCTGAGAGCAAAATGTAATACTTTTCAAACCCGTACTCTTCAAAAAATCCTACTTAATTCTGACATTTATCCAAAATATACATTCATCTGTGAATAATAAAATTATATTTTGTTTAAAAAGGCAATATATATATATAACACTTTCAACAATAAAGAATTGTAATAAAAATAAAAAGTTATATTTTGGCTGATTTTCCATGGTAGTAAGTCCCTGTCATCTCTTAGATCTTTTTGGTAATTTTGAAAAATCCCTTTCACTACCAATGGGATGCCTTTGTTAAAAGTCTCACTCTATTCCTATTTATTTCTCCTTAAAGGTTATGAAAAAGAGAAAGTTAATCCAAGCCTTAACTCTCTAACAGAGTTTAATGTGCCTCTTGCCAAAAGTATCACTTCACTAAAACTTCCTATGTGAGAAGAAATTCAAGTCACCAGAAAGGCTACAAGACTTAAATACTTTTAAAACGAAGTTAAAAGCTTTTGTGATCATGTAAAAACCAAATAGCAGGGCTGTTCTTAAGAATCGCTATCGCCAAGCACCTGTCTCCTGAGTTCTTTATACACTGAGAGGTAGAACAGAGAGTGGGAGATCATATCATCATGCTATTTAACAAAGGGATATTATACATTTCCAGTTCAGTAGCCCCAATTCCTAGCTTACTTTATACAGTAAAAAAACGGGTGAGAAGAATATTAATCATATCAATGTACCCACAAGATCATTTGAAACTGTATACCGGCAGGAAGAAATACTGCCTAGACCCTGAAGAAAGAGAAAAACTCCCTTTGTTTCATCGGAGGACAAACACTTGGCTAGCAAAAGAGACATGCACTGATAAGGTCTGTCTACAACATCCCACCAGCGTAAACAGAGCACCCAAGGACAGCCAACCGTGTAGACATACAGGCTGTGTTCTGGAAGCCCTTGCGTGTCGCTGCAATCCTGGCTATCAGAGCAACCTTGGCCTTTGGAGTGGTTTACAGATTAAAAAACTGCTCTGGAAGCACATGGCACAGAGCAAGGAGAAGGCAATACACAGACAGAGTAGCCGCTGCAGGGGGTGTGCTGGAATGAGGGCGGAGCAGACCTCTGTTTTGGCTGACTTCCTTATCAAGGCAGTTGATACACTTTCTACCCCAACTCCCCTACACTGCCCTCCTTAAAAATTAAGTGGAGGCAAGAGATAAAAGAGTAACATAACCCAAACAGTAGACACAACAACGTTCAAATATAGAGGCAGCAAGACACGGTTAACTTTTCAGGTTAACTTTTCAGGAAAAATCTCGAGGCCTCTGAAGTCTTGAGACTAAAAGACAGAGAATATTTGAAAAATAAGACAAAGGCCATTTCTGAAAAAAATCAAGAGATTCATTTTGAAAGTCAATTCAAAATATATCACGTTGCCCCCAAAGCACACCAAGTATTTAACTCTACACTCACAGGAAATTCTGGTTCTCAGAACAGACTGTGTGAAATGCCTTAGGAAAGCCCTGGGCGAGGGCTAAACAGTCAGCCTTTCCCCTCCTCCCTGCAGACCCCAGGACTGTGATGGCAGGGAGAGCCACGTCCTTTTCCAACCTGACCCATGCAAGGGTATTTAAAAGGTATTTAGGGTTTTCATCTGGTCATTTGGCAATGCCATCAAGCAGGAAGGGGCACTGGATCCAAAGGTAAGTATCTAGCTACTGGATAGCTTCCCCCATTTATCCAGAGAAGGGAGAAAGAGAAGAGGTATAATCATTCAGTGGGGTGGGGGGGGGGGGAACCTCATATACACGGACAACAGTATGGTGGTTAGCAGAGGGAAGAGGGGTAGGAAAGGATAAAGGAGGTAAAATATATGATGATGGAAGATTTGATTTTGGGTGGTGGGAATACAATGCAATATATAGATGATGTATAATAGAATTAACTGTGTACTTGAAACATAATTTTATTAACCAATGTCACCTTAATAAATTTATTTTTAAAAAGCATTGATTAAACAAATATATGAAAGAAGAAAGAAGGAAGGAAGGAAGAAAGAGGCTACTGAAACAAGATTACCTTCTGGTCAAAGTTTCAATTTTAAAGTCATAAATTTATTTTTCACATTAACTACATTTAAGTACCACATTTAACTCTTGTTATTTATTATTTAACTTAAAATAATTTAAACACCATATTTAATACCAATATCTTAACATGATGAAAAGTATATATAACTTTTAAACAGAAAAAAAGTCATTCATTTATTATATCTATTAATTACACACACATATCTATTATTTATAGATAATAGAAAATAAGGAACAAGGATCACAGAAACTTGCTCTCAACTATATCCCAAAATAGAGCTTATTTGTACAGCTCTTTAATGCTTGTTTTGTTTTTTCTCTATTATTTTAATATAAATGCAACTGTGCCTAAATCATATGAAATATTTTTACATCGAGGTCAGAGTAGCCCTGGGTTTTTACATTCTTTTAAATACGGAACACAGAGTCCTAAGATAAGAGAAAACATCTCAGATATTCTGAATTAAGCAACTTATTGTGTTCCCTTGAAGAGAATGGAAAATAACATAGTCATCAGTACTTATTCCAAATCTCTAACAGAATGTTGTGTTTTTTAAGAAAGAGTTTTCCAAAAGACCCTAAAAGCTCAAGAAAAGTTGTTGTTTCCTACTACCATCCTGAATTAGTTTGCTAGCTGCCAAGTACTCATCTAGAGTAAAACAGTATATAGGTTAGAGAAATCAAGTAGTAAGGCGCCTTAAATTCTTTCTAACAAGTGATATTCAACAATACACTTTACTTCACCTACAGCAGTACATGTCCAATTAGTTATATTAACTCAAAACATATCATCAATATAAATAATACATACATTGATTGACACAGACAGGTCCATTCCATACCCCCGTGGCCCCTTTCAACGTTATTCCCTAGGATCCTTTCTCATTCTCGATCTCTAACCATACTTTTTCTCAAGTTTCTTGAAACAGCCATGCTCTTTCCCGTCACAGGACATTTGCACAGACTGTTTCTGCTGCCTGGAACCTCTTTCCACCTTCTGCTGGAACACCGCTTCTCCACCTTCTCTACCCAGCCCCACTCAGAGAAACCATTATTTCTGCCGGGAAACTCTCAGTGACTCTCCTAGTTTAGGTCCAGGCCCTTTGCTACACATATGCAGGTGTGCGACTCTGTAATTACGACGCACCAACCTCAGGAGGCTGAATGATCGCAGGGATGATGTTTGCTTCCCATTATATCCCCAGCAGTTAGCACAGCTCTGGGCACATAGTGCACAAACAAACGTGTTATTTTAGTGATGAGTGAAACCATCATGGGTAGCCCTGTAGAAACAACATTAGGGATTCCAAAATAGCAGCTTTAAAACTTCACAAGGTCTAAAAACTTCTAAATATGTTTTCTTATTGATTCCAGAGAGGTAGGGAGATGGAGAGAGAGATAGAAGCATCAATGATGAGAGAGAACCATTGATCTGCTGCCTTCTGCATA